AACTAGTCTTAACTGGGTGTCCATTTGGACACGGAAAATATACTTAAAAAATGCCCTGAAGTCTTCAGTGCCATGAAATCGTTGAAAACAGTGCACAAACAATATTATGTGTACCTAACAGAAGAAACCTCTACATTTATTATTTAGTTTTTTTTTTTTTCATGTGACATGAAAGTTAATTAGGTTTTATAATCGTTGTAATAATAATTATTGTATTATTACACATGATCGTAATAAACGATTCCTGACATTAACAATAGTAACGAATGTTGAATAATTAATTACAAAAACAAACATGATGTAATTAAAGTACAATAAACGTTCCTAATTACAATCCTGGCCAAAAATGAGGTCATCTCTATGACTTTATTTAATATTAGTAATATATGCCTTTGCAAACAAATTTCAGTCAATATATAATTATTATAATTGGTACTACATATTATGYAAGTGCTTAAGATAGCAAAAAATATTATTTATGAAAGTATAGTTAATGATGAAAATTCTTAAAAAACATAGCATTTTTGGTGATTTTATGAGACAACAAACATTTTAATATAAATTGCCAACTCAAGGTGTTATAAAATATATAAATATAAATTCAAAGTCAACCTGACAACCTATATTACCCAATGATTATTTTATAGTTTTATACCATAATATTTTTTTCTGTATTAAATTTACAATTGTTTATAAAATCATAAATGATGCAATAATAAACAAATCACAGACATTTAGGTAACTAGTGTAATTTGTTATATTATAATAATTAATAATTAAAAATTAAAATCATAAGTCTATCAAATTTTTTTACGAACATATTTAATCATTTTTAGTGTATATAAACGAACCATCTCGCTACATTTTTAGATATTTTTAGACATATTTAGATATTTCTTGATTTTTAATGCATATAAATCCGAACCCTGCAAATAGGCAACACTGAGACGTATGGTCATTGGTCAGTTGTGGCCTGGCCAAGTCAGCGAAACGGCGATCGCTGACTGCACTCCCTCAAAATGTATTGAACAAATATGTTCAAGGCCCAACACATTCCTATATTTGTACCTAAACAGTGGGACCAGTGGCGTATATAAGGGGGGGGCCTAGTGGGCTGCAGCCCCTCCCGAAATTACAGTCTTAACTGTTAACTATATTGTAGTCTCTAGGTGCTAGATAATTATTGTTAGTCGCTATATATATTATAGCCCACCCCAAAAATTATTTCTATATACGCTACTGAGTGGGACATTTTTTTATTTAACCAACCAAGTAATCTGTACCCAGGCAGCCGCTGCATATGGATATATGGATTATTATTCGTAACTTTACCTATCAGCAAAGATCATCGGATATTGTCATATTGATGACTTGCATTTTTCTGCCTGCGTACCTATGATTATAACAATTTAGTACTGTCCAAAAAAAAACCATGTCGTTGTTCAGGTTTTAGTAATATATTATTTATTCAATTAYTGCTGTATTGCTGTTTATTATATCATTCGCCTCGTACAAAACACATTTAATTGGCATGTATTATTATTATGCAGTACCTAGTTATTATTTTTTTACCCTTTTTCACATTTTGAATGAATAAATGTATRTAATKTTATATTATATACCTATTATATATATTGGCAGACGCCATCTGAAAAAAATAAAAAATATGTTTTCAACTAATAATTATTATTATTATGTACAGTTGTATTACAGTTATTATAGGCCACTATCACTTGTTYTTGTTGTTGTGTTCATATTGTACTTAACCATTATATTACTAGGTATATTATACATTTATATACAATAGTATCTACACAGTGATTCACCAAGCATACACACTACCATTTATTCCTTAAACAGTGCAGTTATTCAAAATTTAATTTTAGATTCTGA